AGCAGGAGAGTTGTTCTGAAGGCTTAGCGGAGACGTGCACTATCTGCATGGGCAGGAAAGGAGGGCTCTGAAAGGGCTCAGAGCCACTGGGACAGCCCACCGCCATCTGATTCTAAACAGTCTGTCCATCAGACCGTCCCCAAACAGATATAAGGTATCCACTTACATCTCACTGCACCACCCGAAGATTCTACACAAGTAAGTGTTGGCTAAAATCTCTTCCCCTCTATTCTCCGTTGCCTATTGTCCAAAGCTACACAGATCATAGGGACCAAAAAGTCATCTCTGAGCCATTCTATATGCTACACATTTGATTATACCCACAAGGCTGAGACGCCGTACAAATTGACTAACAGTGAGCTGCTCCCCATGGAGAGAAGCAGGAGGTACCTTGTGGTTCCCATTAGTCTCAGATTGGCCAGTTCCCAACCTCTCTGGGCCTCGTTTTCCTCCTCTGAAAAAGGAAGGGTGTGGAAGTTGGGATTGTGATTACCTTGAAAAGGAAAGGGGAGAAGAGGGGTGAGGAGGGGGAGGGGAAATCAGAGAGAAGCACATGAGGGTGTCCAAATGTGTTGCTAGTGCTTATTTCTTAAGTTGGGTGATGGGTGTGAGTTTTGTAATACTATTTGTAATACGTTTCTGTATGCCAGAAACACTTCATATCATTTCATTCATAACATGGTCAGAGTGAACTCTCACATTCTGTGCTCCCACCAAGGTTGCCAACAGCTCATCCCTCAAGAAGCTGCCTTATTGCCAACACAGAATCCTTTCTTCCTTGCTCCAGGGCCTGTCTTAGCTCCATAAACCCTTTGAGGGAAATGGAGAGAAGGGACATCCCCTCCTCAGCACCCCAACTTTAGGTCCAGGGCAGGGCACCTCCACGGGGGCGTCAGTCAAGCAGCACCAGCCTCTGACCACCACACACCAAGTGTGGTCCTACCGCTGCACCAAGAGTCAGCCTGCCCCTCACTCACAGGACCTTTCTTCCTTAACAATTTAGAAACTTGGTTCAGGTATTTAAGAAACCCATGATGTTTCGATTCTAGCTTAAAAGATGAACTCATTAATGCTATAAATTTCAAATTTTCTTCCAAATGAGGTAAAATGTCTCACTGAAGACAATGAGTGGGGTAAATTAGCTGAAGGTTCACTGTGTTTTATTGTTGCCAGTTTTAGAAAAAGTTATCAGAATTCTTTATCCAGCTTCATCAAGGAAGTTTATAAGAAAGCAATGAAGCCCGGCTGGTGTCGCTCAGTGGTTGAGGATCGGCCTATGAACCAGGAGGTCATGGTTTGATTCCCAGTCAGGGCACATGCCCAGGTTGTGGGCTCGATTCCTAGTGTGGGCATGCAGGAGGCAGCTGATCAATGACTCTCTCTCATCATTGATGTTTCTATCTCTTTCTCCCTCTCCCTTCCTCTCTGAAATCAATAAAAATATATTTTTTTTAAAACAAAAAGGAATGGACAATACATTTTGCCCCTACTTCGTCCTGTCCTGTCTCGGGGTAGATGGCCTGGGTTCTGAGCCAGCTCCTTCCAAGACCGCGCAACCAAAGACATTCGACCAAAAGAAAACTGGCTCCACTGAGCTTTCATTTTCTATTTTTGCTCTTCCTTTCTCTATCATCTGCTTTTAGTTAATCCTTCAAAGACGAAACCAGCGTGTCTGTAATACAGTGTATCGTCCTTCTTCGCACACATGCACTCAGTCCTTTGAAGGTCTCATGTATGTGGGGGCATGTTGATCTCACGAACATAAGCTTCCCTGGCACAGCCCCCCAGTGCTCAGGGTACCTGAGTAGCTCCAGGTTTCTAACGTTGTAAGTCACGGATTTATAACCAACTCCAAGAAAGAAATTTTACTCATCGTCTCAGAGCCCAAGTAAGGTAGACAGACTCATAGAATCCGAGGATCAGAAGAAACAAAATTTAGTTCCACCTCCCTCCCAGGCAGGAGCTGCCTCCCTCTCAGGAGCTCCACAGGTGGCCACAAAGGCGCTGCCGAACCGCCCAGCACCCAGCATGCACTGTTTTGCACGGCAGACGGTTTCCATTTCTGACAGCACTAATTCATCAACATCATCTTTCTATTGAACAAGCATCCGCATTCTTGTCATTTCCACCCCTTCACTGATGGAGAACAGCCAACAATCCCACGGCAGATCCCGCCTGTGGCACATGAGAGCTGCCGCAGAAAACAGTAAATTATCCACAAGAACTTTGGCTTCTGTTTTTCCAAGCACCTACGAACTCTTCTAATAGTGACATCTGACTCACTTTTCTTTACATTGCCCTCAAAGAATTCATGAGAGACTCTGTCAAAAGTAATTCTAAAATCCATCTATGCTTTGTCATTGGCATTCCCCCAATCTCTCTCTCTCTCTCTCTCTCTCTCTCTCCAGATAAGTTTTTCCTTCTCTCTCTCTCTCTCTCTCTCTTTCTCATTAATCTTCACCCCAGGATATTTTTCCATTGATTTTTAGGGAGAGTGGAAGAGAGAGGGAAAGACAGAGAGAAACATCAATGTGATAGAAACACATCAATTGGGTGCCTCCTGCTTTAACCCTGACCAGGGCCCAGGTAGGGGAGGAGCCGGCAACCAAGGTATGTGCCCTTGACTAGAATTGAACCTGGGACCCTTTGGTCCTCAGGCGGATGCTCTATCCACTGAGCCAAACCGGCTAGGGCTCCCAATCTCTTTTCTAACACTCTCAATTTTTTTAACTAGCCATTGCTAATAAAAGAAAACGTGATGTGATTTACAGGGGAGAAAAACAGTACTTTGTGTCTGGCACTTAGAGCTGGAAGAAATGGAGAAGACCAAGCAGGGAGAACCCTTTCGTCTCTTCTCTGACCTCACACACAGTCCACGTTTCACCCGGAGCCATCTCAGGTTTGCGGACAGACTGAAGGTGCACCATAATTGGGTCCCAGCCATTGAACTAACTGTTTTTAACGAGTGAACACAGAAAAAGAGTGGCTTGAAATGATAGTCAGCATTTCTCTCCTTAATACTCTACGATGCCAAGGAAAACCAACTACCAACACACACTCCCATAGACATTTATATTTAGGCACTGCTGAAAAGAAATTCTTATTTCTTTTTCATTATTGACATGTTTTTACAAGAAACATGAAAACATAAGTTGTATAAAATTAAGCTCAGTTTATCATCACCCAGATGTTTTCTTTGGCAGGAAAAGAAATAATGCTACTAAAAGGGGAACTAATCTATCAAGCCCCAGCCCGAATTTTCCCCTCTAGGATTCCCTTTAAGAGGTAATGAAGGGTCCTCTTTCCTAATCCCTCAGGTTGGGAATTCCTAGAGGACAAAGATGACAGGTGTAGATCTCAACATATCTCATTCATTCTGGCAATGTTTGGGCTTTAAGTAAAATAAAATGCTGCCTTATTCTTCTAAGGAGGATTTCAGTTTTAGAAAGACATTTTTAAAATAAGGTATAAGCATGTAGGATGCCCAGGGGTCAGGGCCTTGGGTTCCAGTCCTGGGTCTGCCACTAGACAACCTAAGAAACTGGCAGATGCTGGCTCTCCAAGTCTTAGCTTCTTCTCTGTAAAGTGGCAGAATTAGATTAATCTTTAAGCTTCTCTAAAGCCAGAGTTTCTCTAAGTATTTTTTTAAGCCATCTGCCTCAGAATCACCCATGGAGCAAACACCTGAGTTTTAATGCACTGTTGAGATGTTTCTTATACACAGTCAACTTTGAAAACCACTGCCTCGAGTTCTAATATTCTGTGATTCTGTGTATTCATTGAGCAAACAGGTGTATTCTCACAACTCGATAGATGTCATGGAGATACAGAGCAAGCTGAGGCCCCTCGCATTAAGGAGCTTGCTACCTCATTAGAGAAATAAGATGAACACACACCAAACAATATCAAATAATCTGTAATAGCAATTAATCAATTTTTGGAAATGTTAAATACTGAAGGAGTACGAGGAGGCATAATTAATGAGGGCCGAGGTACAGAGGCTGTGTGGGGGTGGGGAGGAAGGAGACTGGATAGGATCCAGATGGGTGTTTAGTATTTTCGCAGATAGTGTGAGAGGGCAGCACAAGCCCTCAACTGGCATGGGCATGGACTAACAGAGCTATGACCAGTGTGATAGGTTCTGGTTGTGAAGGGGTGGGGAATACCTTTGGACAGGTGAGTAACGGGACAGCCAAAGCACACCTCCATGCAGCCTCTCTGAGAGCTAACTCATCTTCCTGCCCTCCTCTTTCTAAGCCAGAAATGTGTGATTGCCCTTGTCCCCTCCATTTCTTTCTTCATCAGACCATATCGTTTCTGTGGCCAAGTCCTATCAACTTCACCTTCTAAGTATTGTCTCTATTCCATTTTTATTTCTACCCTTTACTGCTCCTCACAGGCCTCGTGTTATCAAACATGACCCGTCAAGTCCACCCTTCACAGAGCCACCCATGTAGTTGACCTAAGAAATAACTCAGACCCTTCCCTCCTCTCCTTAAAACCTTTCAGCTCCACAGTTGTGCTTCCCTTTCTGAAGGCTCCACAGAAGTCCTAGAACTCCAGCAAGCTCAAGAACTCCATTTCACAGCCTCCGACCTAAAAGATCAAGGCCACGCTCCTCACCACCGGCTGAGGTCTTCTATAACCTTCCCTGAACACCACACTCCTGGTAGTTTCCTTCACACACAATAGAGGTTTCCACTCCCCTGCCCGCCTCCACCAGGAACCACCTCTCTGCTCTGCACCACTGTCTCCAACACATACACACATATACACACTTGCATGTGTGTGCACCCATGTGCACAGGCACACACATGCACACACATACACAGGCACACACACAGCCTGACCAACTGCTATTAGTCTTTAAGGAAGATTTTTTTTTTTAATCCTCACCGAAGGATAGATTTTTACTGATTTTAGAGAGAGAGGAAGAGAGAGGGAAACAGAGAAACATCCACATGAGAAAGATACATCAGTTGCCTCCTGCACACGCCCCAATGCGGGGTTGAACCCATACCTGAGTATGTCCCCTCCCTGGGAATCCAACCCGAGACCTTTTGGTGTATGGGACAATGCTCCAACCAACTGAGCCACACTGGTCAGGGCCAAGGAAGGCTTCTGACATGTAGAGGTGTTCAATAAATCTTTGCAGAGGTTAACGTAGAACCTTGGAAACAAGGCTGAAGCATTTTATTTCCTATAGTTAATAACAAGGAAGCACTGAAGGTTTTGTGAATAACAGTGAAATGGCCAAAGCAGTAAGTTTAGACTATTACTCTGGCAGCAAAATGCTGACTGTATTAGAGCAAAGGGAATCTGGGAGGAGGGACATCATCTAAGAATGTCTTAAAAGCCCTGACTGATTTGGCTCAGTGGATAGAGCGTCGGCCTGTGGACTCAGGGGTCCCAGGTTCGATTCTGGTCAAGGGCATGTACCTTGGTTGCAGGCACATCCCCAGTAGGGGGCGTGCAGGAGGCAGCTGATTGATGTTTCTGTCTCATAGATGTTTCTAACTCTCTATCCCTCTCCCTTCCTCTCTGTAAAAAATCAATAAAAAAATATTTTTTAAAAAAGAGGCAATATGTCAACAAGTAAATAAAGACAGACAATATACTGATATTGGAATGATGGTGAGGACAGGCTTCCTTCAACCCCAAGCTGTTCCCCATACTAGTCATGTGGCCTCGAACAAACTCCGGATTGGGGGCTCAACCCCAGTGTGGGGCGTGCAGGTGGCAGCCAATTAATGATGCTCTCCCATCATTGATGTTTCAAATCTCTCTCCCTCTCCCTACCTCTCTGAAATCAATAAAAAAATATTTTTAAAAAAATTATGTAAAAGAAAATATCAGGCATGGACCTGGCACACAGAGGGAAGCGCAATAAAAGGTACTTCCCTCGTAGAGAGAGAGTGAGTGAGGAAACAATGGCACTGTGAGAAGAGTTGGAATCAAGCGAAGATGTCAGTATCAGAACACTTCCTCCTCTGAGACGGACAGCAAGGAAGAAAAGTGATGAGAATGGAAAGAAAAGCTGAACTAAAAAATATCAATGTTCAGGGAAGTTATATTAAGTGGTCAATATTCTCAACAAATCAGTAACTGTCTGCTAAACATTAGGAATTCCAAAAAGGAGCTGCAGTGCCGGGGTAGGAACAAAGGAATGGGAGCTCCATGCATCTTATGTCCTAAATCAGGGCTTGAGTGTTTGTTTTCCAACCTGTTGGCTGGGCCCCAAAATTGACCTCAGGCATGGAACCCAACATAAAAGTAAACGCTGAAAACAAGAAAAAGAGGAGAGGGGGGAAGAAACCAAGGCCCAAGGACAACCTTGGAAAGACCTACAGTTGGTCAGTGGGCAAGAGGAAGAACCAGGAGGAAAGTGGTCAGAAGCATCGGAGAATGGAGATCAAGTTATGTTACAGAACCTAATGGAAGAGAGAGTGTTAACAAATCTGCTCTTTCCTACACTCACTCTTTTCTGTCTGAGTGACTTGGTAAATATGATACTGGGATAGAGCAACGTGCCGCAAAGCAACAAAACCCTTCAAGTCTTTCGTGTTGAAATTTATGATCCACATAGAACATCAGTTGAAAATGGGCAAAACAAACCAAAGTGCTGATTACAACAATCTCCCTCCTATCCTCAGAAATGCCTCCCCCCAAATAATTACTTCACCCCCCCCCAAGTCTCCCCTTAAAAGGCTAAGAATCAGACTGAGAATAAGCATCTGATGATTTGGGGTTTTATTCTTCAGTTTCTTAAATTTATTTTTGTATTGCACCTTGTGATTTTTAAGCAACAAGTTTGAATGCAAGCCACAATAAATATCATTCATTTCTTTTTTCCTCTTGTGACATGGTTAAGATTCTTATCAAATTATATATATAGTCTCTTGGTCAATTGAAAAATTAAATCTGAAGGCTGGCCAAATACTTTTCCCAAGACCACTGCTCTGGACTGCTGGTTCCCACGGTGCCCGAGTCCCCGAGCCACGGCAGGGCCGAGCTGCCCACTCACCTGCATGAGTTCATGGCTTTCTAGAAGATCATGCTCTAGCATCTCCTGGGTGAGGCGCCCCATGGTGCTGTAGAATTCATCTGAAGTTTCACAGTTTTCTATCTGCCTGGAAGCAGAAGGACAGGACAAGGAACTGTGTTAGACACCCATGCTGTCTATCAGGTTTGTGCTCCAGGACCAACAGGATATGTGACCTCTGGCCATCAGATCAATCACATCAGCAATCAACAAACCTCAAAATACTGGGACACACTCCCTGTACAGCCTGCCATACACAGAGAAAAGATAAAAAATATCCACGGCAACTCGCAGGTACTTATTACGGGATAGCAGACCATCTTTCCTACACGGCTCCCCAGCCTCCCAGCCCTACCGGTGGCACTTTTACTGCTTCCATGTGACACATTTTACACATCAGAATACCCACCACTGATGAGAAATCATAACCATGAAATTAGATCTGAAGAACAATTATCCCCAGGAGGAAATCTGTTGCTGTTAATCCACAAACCGTGCTATCACTGATAGACTGAAAACCAAACCACAGTAGAAATAAAAGATGAGAAATACTAGAACTTTATCTGTATATGTCATCAGTCCACAGGATGCTTTCACAGGCAGAATTTTTTCAGTTCTTCTCAGGGCACTGCTGCTAGCTGGAGACCGCACCCTGCTTCTTACATTTGTTTCTACATATAAAGAAGCTGTTACCTGTCAACCTGTGAGGCAGGGTACATGTTAATCCTTCTTCTCGAGGGAAAAAAAGGAGTGGTCTGAAACAAAGAGCACGGTGCATCTGTTTTATCTACCATGACATCCTCTGTGTAGGAGGATGGCTCTATTGGACACCAACCACAAGATATAGTATGATGTACCCTGATGCTGGGGGATTTTCATACAGCCATCCCCCAAAAAATAAGATGCTGGGAAAACTTCAGGCTCTGGAGTGCTGTTCAAATCTCACTGCCACAATCAGGTAAATAAATAAATGAGATGAACTGTTGAGGTGTTATTACAAAAATACAAAGTAGCATGTGGGCATCAATAAAAAAAAGTGGTTATGTTTACCCTGGAGGATGAGGAAGAAAAATAATACTGAAGATGAATTTTGAAAAATATTCTCGCGGTTGACAAGGAAGAGAATGTATATTTTTGGCACGGAGGCAGGAGACAGCTGCAGGCCCTACCCAAGAATCTGCAAGTGGCTCCCCAGGGCCAGAACGGAGCCAGGGAGCTGCAGCGGGAGAGCTGCAGGCAAAGGACACCGAAGGCCTCACCCGCCAGCTGAGCCCCTTCAGGCAACGATCACTGGAAGGCTCTGAACAGGGAGTGTGGGGACAAACATGCCCTTGGCGAGGTCAGCCTGGAGGTGGCATGGCAAGGGTGGGTGTGATGGGGAAACCAGGGAAGACACACCAAGACAGGCCAGGCAAGAGGGAACCAGGGAGCGAGCCAGAGCAGCAGGGTCAGAGGAGAAAGGACGCGGGAAAGAGATGCCAGGGAAGGTGAGCTGATGCTCTACAGCTAGCATATTCTAAAAGTACCCTTGGTGTGAGTGAGAGGGAGACATTCAAGGTGCAGAAGCAAGGGGAGAGGTCCCTGGATAACCATACACGAGGCACATGTTACTCAGGCGCACATAGCTGGAGACTACCTATCTGCTATTTAGGATTTTTCCAACGGACAGTTTGTGGGGAAGAGCACAGGCACTGGAGTCAGAAAGATCCAGGTTTAAGTCCCACCGACTTCACAGGGCTACGGGCAGGATGAATGAGATCATGTGTTTACACGGTCTAACATAACGATGGCACTATAGGCACTTGATGTGTGCTGGTTGCCTTTCCTTCTGCTTAACAAGTTGCACACTCAAAACATGCAGAATTATAATGAACAAAGGCTCTGAAAATTTTAAAATTCTACCAGTCTGATTCATATATCCTCTGAACTGCATAAAAAGGAGCCATAGCCCTAACTGGTTTGGCTCAGTGGATAGAGCATCGGCCTGCGGGCTGAAGGGTTCTGGGTTCGATTCTAGTCAAGGGCATGTACCTTGGTTGCAGGCACATCCCAGTAGAGGGTGTGCAGGAGGCAGCTGATCGATGTTTCTCTCTCATCTATGTTTCTAACTCTCTATCCCTCTCCCTTCCTCTCTGTAAAAAAATCAATAAAATATATTTTTTTAAAAATAGGAGCCATATATTACCAGTATATTCACATTGTTAAAAATCACAGACTCCAGAGCCAAGGGAGCTGGGTTCAAAAACAGGCCCTTCCACTTCTAACTGGGTGACCTTGCGCAATTAACTGCTCTGTGCCTCAGTTCCCACATCTGTATAACGGGGATAATAAGAGGACCTAACTCATAGGATGATGGTGAGTACCAAAGAAGTTAGTTTTACATGTAGAGTGCTCAGGGCAATGCCTGTCCATTGCAAGCACTCAATGAATATTGGATTTAAAAGTGTAGCCATTACCTTTTCAACAATGTGACATCCTTGGAGTGACAATATGACTAAATTCTAATCCTACAGATAATGAATAGATGGCCTGGGGACTGAAGGGTCCCGGTTCCATTCCGGTCAAGGGCATGTACCATAGTTGCAGGCTCAGCGCATGCAGGAGACAACCAATAGGTGTGTTTCTCTCACATCGATGTTTCTGCCTTTCCCCCTCTCTTCTACTCTTTCTAAACATCAATGGAAAAATATCCTCAGGTGATGATTTAAAAAAAACATACCAAACTTCTGACAGAAAAAAACTACCTCTGTATCTTATTAACTATAACAATTTCATTCTAATACAGGGATTGGCAAAAGTAGATTTACTGTTGTTCATAAGGAAAATAATATAATAATTAATTAATGATAATACAAAAATAAACTTTCATGTACTCACAACTGTAAACCTACTTTTGCCCACCCCTGTATTTCTTCCATTACCAAAATGGGAGAATTTTAATGTAATAGTCATAATATAGTCAAGATGGGTGAAAACACCCTAATTTTTTCAGACCAGCTGCTAGTAAAGAATGTACGTAAAATCTCTTCAGTGATGTGTTTGGTAGTAATAGATTCCCACACACACTGTTAATTCTTGATGAAAGGAAAGAAGTTCCCTATGTCCTACTGACTATGTACCAAACACCTTGCTAGACACCTTATATTTATTATCTCATTTAATTTCATCACAGCCCTAAAAGGCTGGACACAATAAGTAATAAAGATTCAACATAATCTAAATTGTGGTATTAACCAACAAATGCACCTACTTCTTTCCAGACCTCACAGTTCCTCATGCACCTAAGTCTCCCTCTTCAAAACTAGTGTCCGGAGAGATGCTGACAAAGAGCAAACCAACTGGACAAACACACTAGGAGGAGGGGGAGAATTCCAGGCCTGAACAAGCCTGCCCCCTTCTCTAAAGTAGATGCCATCTGTCCCCAACAACCAAGAATGTGTCAGCAGGGGAGGGTGAGTGAGAAGCCATCAACCAAAGAATTTGTATGCGTATATGCATAACCCAGGGACACAGGCAATGGGGTGGTGAGGGCCTGGGGTGGGGAAGGACGGGAATGGGCGGGAAGAGGTTAATGGGGGAAAAGGAGGGCCTATGTAATACTTTCAACAATAAAAATTAAAAGGAAAAAAAAAAAGAATGTGTCAGCTGAGATCCCAGAAGGGTAAAGCCACTGCACAAAGTTCACAACTTCCTCTTTCCTCACACTTAATTATCGACGCTTTACATGTTAGAGCACAAAAGCTGCTCAAGGCCCCCAACACCACAGAACAGAAGAGAAGGGGGAAGTCACTTACTCTCCCAACTTTGCCCAGATAGCCAGCGACACCCTTAGGATGATTTCCGAACCTTCAAAAAAGACAGAATCCCAAATCTTTAAAACGGTGTGGTTAGGGAGGCACGTGGCGAAGAGAGTCAGAAACCACTGCATCGTGAAGACATTCGTGAGCGGGGGCTCGTATCCACCTGAAATAAAGCAAACACTCCATTTCTTCAGAATTGACAGTTTGCAAGATATAAAGGCACCGCCTCTTCCAGTCTCCCAAGTCCACCCAACTATGTTACTTTTCCTGACTGATTTGTTTACGGGGCTAAATTATGGTTCTTTCCTCTTCTTTCCTTCCTGTTTCTAGAAGAACACAGGTGTGTTTAATAAAAATCTCAATAATATGAACTTCACAAATTCTTTATGGTACTTCAGAAATCTTAACCTAACATTTAATTTGGTTCTGCCTATTATGGGATGCTGAAAATTAAGGAAAATGTTTTCCTCACCTAAAATGAAATTAAAAAAAAAAAAAGGATTTTAGTCCCTCAAAAGCAAATGCCGATTTCCAAAATATCCTAAAGCCCACTTTTATTCAAATGCTGCTCAGAAAAGTAAAATTGCTCATTAGGAATTGCTTGTCTACTTCTTAAAGCATAATAGTTCTCAGACCACAATGGTATTAAATGACAAATCAATCAGAGAAAGATAGCTGGAAACCTCCCCCCGCCCCCCAAATATATAGAGATTAAACAACATGAAATTTTACAATATGTTGAACTAAACTACACAGTTGTAAATATCTGAGATCCGGCTCACTTTAAAGTTTCTAAATTCACTAAAAAACACAGAGCTCCCTCTCATTTCCTGTGATGGCATCAGTATGCATTTTAATGAAGTAAAATTTAGATATGTGGACTGCTTCTCCGTCCTACTTACAGTCAGAATATGCATTTACCCAAGTATAAGCAAAAAGAGATCTGCTCTCCTGCCCTCGTTTTCTTCCTTCGTACCTAGGAACAAAGGGAGCACCTCTTCCCAGAGACTAGAATCTGAGGTCACTCACCCCTTGCAGGCCAATGCAGAGCACTAGGGGGGAAACATGGACCCCAGTACAGCATGTCTGACTATGGGACAGGTTAAGGCTGTTCGACCCAGAAATCTTATGAAATCCACCCAGGTGCATAATTATACTGCACAGCCAAATTAAATGAGATTATTCAAATGATTTAGAAGGAAATGCTTAGAGACACCCAGGTGTCACTAAAATTTCCAGTGTATTTTAATTGAGGACAGATTAGGTCTTCAAAATCATTTAATATTTTCCTAGGTTTAAATGTGTGGCCAGTACCTGGCAACCATTTACAGGAAACACAATACACTCTGACTCTTCTTTCTGGTCTCCTGGGCACAGCCAGGGAAGTGCATGCAGCGGCAGAACTACCGCACTAGCTTAGGTCATCCGGGAAGCTGGCTGATGCCTGCTGGATGGCGGTAACTCTCAGAGCTGTAACAGAGTGGTCTCCATCGCCACCTTACTCAGCCAGTGCCTTCCTTCAGGGTTCAAGTTCTACCTGCAGCTCCTTCTCCAGCAAGAACTGGCCCATTCATCTCAAGTGAATCTGCATACCCTTAGCATGAATCAATAAAAGTAACATTAAACATTTCAACTCAAATTCTCTCCAACAACTTTATGAAAATACATAGTCCACTCTTCCATAACCTCAGTGCTTCAGGAAAAAAATCACAGCGTGTGCTAAATGGTACCTGCAGCTCATCTTTAAAGATGCCTATAGATTTGGCGCCAGTTTAGAGAAGTTTAACTGGATGGCGAGACATGTACGCCGTTCTTCATCTAAAAGACAAGAATGTCTGGTACTGGTGACAGATGAGGTTCCTGACCAACTTCCTAACTATAACCATTCAAAGGTTCAGTATGTGGCCCTCTGTTGGTTTTTTGTTTGTTTCGTTTTGTTCCTGTTCTCTGAAAATCTATTTCATTGCATCAAACTCTCACCAACAGAAATACCTGAAAAGATGTATTTCCATTCAAGGTGTAGGCTCCTATGTATGGTGGGGTCAGAAAAGTAAAAAATTTCGAAGGTACAATAGCATTGAATCATCACTACCTCCACTCTCCTTGTTTGCAGTTCTCTGAAGAGTGTCCAGGTGCTCAGATAATTCAGGGAGCTTCAGTCTCAGGAGGTCTCTGAAGACAGCCATGTCCACAGACAACGCCCGGAGATTATTGACAAAATAGCTCTCGGGAAGTACCTTGTCAATAAGGTAAATCATAATCTGAATAAAAAAAGATTAAAAAAAAAACATATTCAAATGGATCAAATGTAGTTAGCCAAAGCACACTTTCGTTTAAATGTGTCAGTACCAAATGTTCTGGATCTTCGAGGCTCAACTCCACCCTGGGTGAAGAGCATGTGCCATAATTATCTGGATAATTCATCATTATCTAAGCCATTCATCATTAACTAAGTAAGTTCTCAAAGCAGCTCAGACCCGCAGACTGCTATGGTCTACAGTTTCTACATGGGCTGCCAGACCTGAGGCTACCCATGGGTGGCTCTGAGAAGTATGAGGTGGAGCACGTGCTTCCGCAGCAGCCAGCGGGAATCCCAACACTGGCTCCTACGAAAACCAAGACTGGCCCATCACAAAACACCCCCCTGAAGCCCATCTCAGGATTCACCTACCATCAACCTGGGTTGTCAGAATAACTGATGTGGGTTCTTTGTCCACTTTCCTTTCCTGGGAGAATGCAACAAGGTTTTGTTTGAACCAATGAGGCTTTTAAAATCTGGATTCTTTCCATAAGGTTGTCTCATACATAAGTTCTTCAAATTACTACTTTCATTCAGACTTTTTTTTTATTTGCGTTACCTTTTCTAAGAAGTCAAGAACCACTAGAAAGGCCCAGCAAAACACACATGTTCTAATCTCTGATCCCTTCCCTGTCAGCACACATGCTCTTCATATGCCCTCCCTGCTAGAAGACCTGCTCATTCCCCAGAGCACAAGAAAATCAAAATTGAGAACAAAATCATAGCTGACCCTAGATGTTGGTGGAAAGTAGCTGTCTCACATTTTGATTTTCATCATTTTGCAAAACCTAATTTCCCCCCAAAATTATCTCCCAGACCTGCCAATGGCCCATTTTCCCCTCATCCCTGGCTTATAATTTCTACTTTTAAGGTCAGAGTTTTAACTAAGTCAATAAAGGTAGAGACATATTCTCAAGAATACCTGCCCCTCCCCCCAGATCTTTATTCCAGGATTGGGAAGGTCCAGGGAGCTGCTAGAGCCGTCCTATACATATAGGGACAGAATTTACCAGGTAAACGTACCATCACTCTGAAAATAGGAACTTAGCAATAAAGAGTATATTCGATTCGTGTGGAGGGAGGTGGTCCCAGAGTGCCCAGGCCAGGTGAGGGGGGAGTGAGTTTCCAGCAGAACACAGTGCCTGGTCAGACTTCGCATACCATGGTAAGGGAGGGGGGCTTACAGGATCACTTTTCCTCTAGGATAAGTTATGTAAGACTGAGAAAAATATTTAAGTTTTTATGAAGAAATTATGAGCCTCAAGATTACACAAAAACAACAAAAAAATTACCAATTCTCATAATAATTCTGTGACACAATGAAATTCTCTATCCCACAGCATCTCAAAGTCTGATGTCTTATGTCAGCAATGTCACTCCACCCACTACTGTATTTCAAGGACCAAACATTGCATCAAGAAGAAGAAGGGGGAAGGGGAGAGGGAGAGATGGAAGGAAGGAAGGAAGGAAGGAAGGAAGGAAGGAAGGAAGGAAGGAAGGAAGCAAGCAAAGATAGTTTCTTCAACAAATGGTGCTGGGACAACAGGACATCCAAATGCAAAACAAACTGAATCTAGACACAAACCTTACACCCTTCACAAAAACTGTTTCATAGACCTAAATGTAAAATGCAATCTTATAAAATCCCTAGAAGATAGCATAGCCTAGATGACCTTGGGTATGGGAATGACTTTTTAGGTATAACACAACACCAAAGGCATAATCTATGCAGAAATACTAATAAGCGAGACTACATTAAAATTTAAAACTTCTGCTCTGTGAAAGTGAATTAGAAGACAAGCCACAGTCTGGGAGAAAATACTTTCAAGAGATCCATCTGATAAGGGACTGTGGTCCAAAATACACAACGAACTCTTAAAACTTAGTAAGAAAACAAGCTTTAAAAACAAACAAAACAAAAAAACTCGATTAAAAAATGGCCCCAAAACCTTAACAGACACCTCACCAAAAATAAAACAGTTACTAAGTGCAAAAAAGCAAGGAAAATGGTTTGCCTCCATTTAATTAATTATATATTTCCCTACTAATTACAACTCGCAGAGGCCAAAATAGCTGTTGGAAAAACACCAACACCCAATATTTTCCTTTGCATCAGAAGTATTTCTTCATAAACCCAACCTTCCTCTGCATATTATAAATGCCTAACCAGATTCCTAAATGATGATGTCATTTCATCCGACAAAGTTCATTTTCTTAAATATTCAGTTTCTGAGCTTTATTTAATCCATCTTTTTATGTGACTTTTTACTTTCTCAAGTACCATCACTGAGTCCTTTCATGATTTGATTGGCATTATAACCCTTTCCCAAACCTTCCCACCCCACCCCCAACCTGAATTGTTTATTTCAGCTTTTTAATAGAGCAGTTCCCATACAAGGTAAAGCTGGGGGGGGGGCGGGGGAATGACTAAAGCTGATGGACTACTTAAACAAAATTGCTTCTTAATAAAAAATGTTTTAAAGTCATGTATTCAATTTGTCACTGCCTCCCCCGTCCACCCCTGCCTATCTGATGAGCAAGTAGCTTCAAAGCTGTTTCCTTAAATACATGAATGGAAAAAGTGAGAGGGTGAACACAGAATGAGATCGTGTCAGGCTGGCTTTATAATTAATTCCATGATGTGTATAAAACCAGGAGGAAATTTGCTTATCTTTCCATATCAGAATTAGTCCCTGGTTGAGAATATCACAACTGGTGTTTGCCACCGTCAAACAAAGAATGGGAGTGGGGGGAGGTGCTCTTGAATACAAAGATGAAGTAACCATCACAAAGCACTGCAATCAACAGCAGCCTGAGGATTCAGATAAGAAGAAGCAACTCCATATAGCCCCAAGCAAGTAAAGCAGTGGTCATCTTCCAAGTGTAAAATGCTTCCTTCCTTCTGAAGACTTATTTCTGGTGATTCACTGAATCACATTCAGACGGACATGCTTAACCTGCTAGTGTCCCATTTCAAAGTGTTTTCAGAATTTATTTTTTTTTTTACTAATAAAGGCTCTGGGCATCAAAGATTAAAAGATAATTCGCTTCTATAACCTTTCTCCAAGCAATCTGCTTCCATCATAGACATTCACTCTCAGCCTACCTCCTCCATACCTCATCCCAGATATGCAAGAATAAAGCAATCTAATAAGATCCAACCAGAATTTAGGATAACTGGTGGAGTAGGCGGTTTCTACCATGACCCTAGGGATTCCCCATCTCCTGAGAGTCACACTCTTCCATAAGCCCTTTCCCTGGAGTACGGGCTGGACCTAGTGCCTGGCTCCTAATGAACAGAATGTGGGGAAAATGATGAACTGTGACTTCTGATATATAGGCTTCAAGTCTGTAACCTAATCTCTTCTGTGTTGCTCACTCTCTTGCTCATTGATGGATACCAACCAGAATGTTGCACAATGGTGAGCCCCACAAAGCGGAACTGAAAAAGGGCTCTGACCAATAGCTAGCAAGGAACTGAGGCCCTCAGTCCAAGACCTGTGAGGAATTAAAGCTTTCCAACAACCACCTAAATGAACTTGGAAGTGAATGCTCTTGCCTAGTCAGGCCTTCAGATGAGACCACACCCCAGCCAACAGTTTGAATGCTACAATCATGTGACTCTGAGCCAGTTAAGCCACGTCCAGATTCCTAAGGCAAAGAAAGAGTGAGGTAATACCAAGTTTGCTATTTTAAGCAGCTCCTTTGTTATGCAACAATAAGTATTAAAATAATTAATAACTAACTTGCTTTAAAAAAAATGTCTTCTAAGTGAATCTAAACACCTAATCATCCTCTTCACATCTGGTAGCTACATGAGTCTGTCACTTGACCTGGCTTTAACCTGGGGGAAACGGTATCATGGGTAATTACGAAGGTGTGGCAAACACCTCGGAAGGAAGTGGGCATCAGGGAAGATAAATTATAGTTCCAATATTTAACTCTCTGAAGAATTTCAGTTGCCTTTTTCAGAGCCTGATACTCACTTTCAGAGCATCCCCTTCATTGCCTTCCACCACTTCCAGAATTAGTGCAGCCAGGATGTTAAAGCCTTGGCAGTACCCAACACTCTTGTTCCATCGGGCATAGGCCAACAGGACCCGCTTCAACACAACCCTGTCTTGCTCAGCCTCCTGGCCACAGTAAGAACTGCAGCCTGTGCGGTGAAGATCCTAAAATAAGAGGAAAACAGTAATTTTTTAAAGTGACTTACTATACTCTCTCTCAAAAACAAAAAACAAAAACGGTAGTTATTTCTTTGCCTCAGCATTAAGTAGATTATCAACATGGACTGTAGTTTTTTTAAATTGTATATGCAACATGGGTCAAAAGAAATTCCTTTCCTTTTCTTCCTAATGTTTTCTAATATGCCTAGACATTTTCAAGAGGAGTTGCAGTCAGGCAAATTTTCTACTTAAAGTGTTTCCAGAATTAACACAAAGAGGGACTTAGAATTAACAAAATTTCATATAAGCTGACAGTTTATTTAATAATATATCTCAAATAAAACAAGTCATTTCAACATATGTATGATACATGCCAACATTACTTCTTACAGAAAAGGATATAAAGTTTATTTAGCTATCAAAACTCCAAATAGTATTAAGGAGCAAAACCAAAATAGCAAAAAATGCAACCTGTATTGTAGAGGGACAGAAAAATCATTCTGTCTAAAACAGAAAAATTATTCTGTTCACATTGTTTTATAAATTTGTGTAAAACAGACAAAAATTTAACATTTAATCAGGGCAATATCCATAATTTTATTACCAGGCAGAGATTATGATCTTCAGGAGGTGAAGTCATTTTACTGACATAGTATTCACTTCAAAAATAAAATAAAAGATCTTCTTAATAACGTGATCATTATAAAATGTGATGTTTTAATTTGCAATTTAAACAAAAAGAAAATATTTAAAATATACAATACTTCATCTGTGAGAAACACATTCTGAAATTCCAAATAAACAGCTGAAATGTCAAAATGTAAAAGCTTTTCAAGCATACCATATAAAATTCCATAATATATTTTTAGGATTTATCTGAAACAGACCAAATTAGATCAGAAAGTAGCTCCTTTTAGTTAGTACTTCCTCAGAAAAACAGCCATCTTGTGGTGACTAAAATTTAGATGAAATAAGTTGCCTTTTAAAACCTCAGCTTAGTGTCACACTGTGATGTACTCATATAAAATTAAAAGTGACATGCTACAGGCTTATGTAAGAGAATAAGAGTGAGATCAAATAGAATCAGCAGCGTTGGCTTTTGGCACCAGGTTCTAACCAACTGTAATGATCCAGGTAGGCAAACCGTTGCTGCCTCCAGGGCTGGCCTGGACCCTTCACCAGCTAATTTAATTAGACTGACCCATCAGTCATTAGATTGACCCACCAGTCAATCTAATTATATTCATGAATTGTCAGTTAAGAAATTATCAAAGACCCTAATAAGAACCCAATTATTATAACAGGACTATCCTTAACTTTAAATTTCTCAGTTACTTTTATGTGAAAATCCAGTTAACAGCACTGACCAATGCTAAAAAAAAAAAAAAAAAAAAGAATTTATCTGTTATGTGAACAAATAAGCTAAATATGAATGGAAACATTTTATTCTTACTGGCAACACACAAACTTTTGAAGACAATGTATACAGTCAAAGTTCTTCATTAAAAAGCTATTAACTAAAGAAGAAACAGGAAATACACAGACTTTCAGATCATAAGGCTTGATCTCTATCCAGGAAACGTCTGGCTCTTGGAATCTTCCTTCTAAGTTAGGACAACAGGCCACGCTCAGGGGCATTACCTTGACTATCTGAATTCCCATTGAGTCATCGTCCGGATTACTCCTTTCATTGAAAGTGAAGCGCAAGGTTTTGTCCCAGTCAATGGCTATGCTGTGCAAATAATGATCTGCCAAGGTCAACCAAACCTAAAATATGAATAAAGAAGGATGCTAAAGTCAAATACATAATTTCACCTTTACTAGGACTAGTGATTGCATCCAACAAGAGAATGGGAACTGTTCCTAGACCAGAAACAGCCCACGTGCAGAAATCCAAAAGAGCCCCCTGAGATGTGTATTGTACTGAACTGCATCAATTAGGACCTTTCATGTGTTCGAAATTTCAATTAATATTTGTTGAGTTCCACTATGTATCAAGCAATGGTCCTAACATTAGGAATACTGTTAAAACATTTTTTTTCAAGTTTTACTTCAGTTCATTGAATTAGCTATATTATGTTACAAGCTTGTCATACTTGGCTCTGAGCTGCTGTCTATGCTTGAGCAATGGGCCTTTTCTCACCATGAGGTGGTCTCTGCTTTTAAATGCCCACTCTCTCTCCCTCTCTCCCCACACACACACACATACACACACACACACTCACACACACACACATGACAGATGAGCTCCCATAATGAATAACTTTTAACTGTTTTTAGAGTCAATGGATATTTTTACACATTATCCTGAAAAGCTGTTTCTGAAAGATGTATTTCTTTTTTTTAAATATATGTTATTGATTTTTTACAGAGAGGAAGGGAGAGGGACAGAGAGTTAGAAACATCAACAAGAGAGAAACATCAATCAGCTGCCTCCTGCACACTCCCCACTGGGTATGTGACCCCAACCAAGGTACATGCCCCTGACCGGAATCGAACCTGGAACCCTTGAGTCCGCAGGCCGATGCTCTATCCACTGAGCCAAACCGGCTAGGGCTGAAAGATGTATTTCTTAAGGTCATTTTTAATGTATATTTTGAGGAACCTCTGATATTCAAATTCTAGCAGAATTAGACTAGGTCTATAAACTGATATAGTAAGAGAGCATTTCAAGTTTTGGTATCTGAACATAGTTAGCAGGAATATCACTCATTAATATCTCCACTCAGACTTCTCTCCTAAGCATCAGAATCATATGTCCAAATGCCCACTTGACACCTTCAACATAGATATCTAATAGGCATCTTAACCTTAATAGATACAAATCTGATCATCTAACCCATCACCACCTCAGCTACACATGCACACATATGAACACACACACCTGCTCCTCCCACCTGAGTCAACAGTAACTCTCCCCTTCAGGTGAAGTCATCGTTGACATCCTATTACCTCATATTCAATCTAACAGGAATTCATGTCAACTCAGCCTTGAAAATATATCTAGAATCAGACCCTTCTCCATCTCTTGCCTAAGTTATTATAACTCTCTACTAGTCTCCCACTTCTGTCCTTGTCCCTCATATTCTCGAGTTAGCAGCCTAAGTGGTCCATTTAAAATATAAGTTGTATCATGTAATTCCCCTGCTCAAAACTACCCAATGCTTCCCATCTCACACCCAGCAAAGTCCTACGATGGCCTATAAGGTCTTACATGATCTGCCATCCTCCTAACCCCATCACACTACCGCTATGACCCTCTCTCCTATTGCTTTCCCCCTTTTCACCGTGCTTCAGCCACCCCGTCCTCTTCCCTTTGCTTGTATATTCCTGAAATGCTCCCACCTGAGTGTTTTCTGGCATACTCTTCCCCCAGGGTAGCTGCATGGCCCACTGCTCACCTCCTGCAAGGCCCCATTTAACTGTCACTTTGCTGTTTAAAATTCCACCTCCTTATCGGCATTTCCCACAGTTTCGCTTATTTTTCTGCTTTATTTTTATCCATGGCACCTATCACCATCTGGTATACTTTATATAATTTATTCACTGTAAGCTCCATAAGTACAAACATTTTGGTCTGGTTTTTCTTTCCACTGCTGTATCCCCAGTACCTAGGACAGTACCTGGTGCAGAATAGATAATCAATAAATATTGAATGAATGAATAATGAAAGGGGACATGTTTCAAATTACTAAATTTAGAATATCATTTTTTACATTCCAGAGATTTAAAGAGGGACAGAGTGATGGCCCTTTTGTATTTCAGCCCTACACATCCTCCTTACCTTTCTCCTCCACTCTTTTGGTATTCCTGTGGATAGTCTGGCAACTGCCTTGAGAGCATCATACCACTAGGAACAAAGAAGAAATATTGGCAAAATGCTACTACTGACCTGGGTAAGCACTTTTCAATCTTTTTTTCATCCTGACATCTGTAGAGCATAAACTCTGCACAGTACACTGGGTAACAGTCAACTTCTTCCAGCCAGATATGACCGGTGTGAGGACTATGCCTGCCCCAAGCCCCACCTTGGCACCCTAACACACCTGTGATCCATTTGCAATCCACGAAAAGTAATTGGGAAGCAGTGGTTCAGAAACCAAAACATGTATTATGGATTCAGAATAATAGATGTTTGGTTTTGTAAATTTTTTTCACACTTGCACCATTAACAGAAAGTACAAAAATTTTCATGGTAAGTATAAACCCAAGCGTCATCTGTATTTTTAAAAATTATTTGTCTTCTTATGCTAGTCAAAGCTTTCCCATTTTGAGAATGTATCTCAGTATATTATACCCTGTAGATACCCCAAAAGAAGAGTATTATCAAAACCAAAAATAAAGTTACCTGCTGAAAACCATTTTGTCCTAAAGACGGCTCAAGAGTGAACTTCAACTTTGTGTCAACTCCTAAAAGAAAAACACGTAACTGTTATTTTGGGAGAAAATAAGTTACATCAAAAACAGAAGTAAAAATTAACTGAACCATCATGAAGTTTTTTATTTTACTAATTTTTAGTCAATTTTGTTAAAGAAAAAGAATATTGGTTGTTACTATAGGATATTTTTTCAGAAATGGAAATATAACTGAACTCTAATGCTAGGTTACCTACAACTTTAGATAAAGTTCCAAAGTTTTAACTTTATTATAGAATGGAGCTTTTCCCATAAGATGGTGGTTTCCACCGCTGTCTGGAGTGGTGCCAAACCAAAACACAAATACATTTAAAAAAATTAAAAAATCACAGGCTTGGAGTTAGAGACCTCCATTCAACTTCAGTTTCTAGAGTCAAATAAATAATTTAACCTGCCTCAGTCTCATTTCTTTTTTCTCTTTTTTTAAATCCTCACCCGAGGATATTTTTCCATTGATTTTTAGAGAGTGGAAGAGAGAGGGAAAGACAGAGAGAAACTTCGATGTGAGAGAAACACATCAACTGATTGCTTCTTGCACACGCCCTGACCATGGCCAGGGCTGGGGCTGAGAAGTGCATTATTTCTATTAGGGAAATGTCAGTGGAATATCAAAAGTTATAAAAATAATGTCACTGCCCTCCCACTTATGGAATCCTTAGTAGTCCTATTGGAGATTTCCTATGTTTTTAAATTCTGTCTTAATAAACTTAGCTATTGGAGAAAAAAAAGTTTGTATGTTTAGTTATAGACTACAAGCTAAAAATATAACTGAACTCTAATGCTAAGTTACCTACAACTTTAGATAAAGTTCCAAAGTTTTAACTTTATTTTGGAACTTCTCTGTTCCAAATCCCAAATCTATGGAATTGAAGTACATAAATAGGAGGATACAGAAAGACTATATGTTTGATATGTATATTGGGCTTCTTTTAATTCAGAATTCCATGTTAGAAGCTTATGTGCTGTCGTTATTGAGGTAAAATTAAATGACAATTTTTATTCCTACTTAAGTTGTGTTTTAAAAAAAATAGTATAATCAAATCTAAAAATGCTATACTTTCTTTTCCTACAATTTCAAAGTCAATGAAATTACATTTTAAGTCACTTTTTAAAAGACATGACTTGAAAGTTTAAGGATCAAGATATACCAAACATTAGCCATAGCATTCAGTTTTAAATGATTGTCATTTATGATGAAATGTTTGCTTCTAAGATGTTGATAGCAGATTAGGCGTACTGAAAACCTCTCCACAACTATGTAGGGCTGGTATGCGGGTAGGAACAATCTTCAGAATTTGCAAAATTATAATAATAAAGTAGACGAGTCTTTTAAAAAACATACTAGTATATATGGAGTCAAGAAGCTGGAAAGAGATGTGTCTGACTTGCCCAAGCCCAGGAGAGCATGCAGATGCCCTTCGTGGAGTCCTGGAAGAAGGCTGTGAATACATGAGAGGGATCTCAATTTCTAAAGTCAAGCTGTGGTGGAGAAGCCCAAGATAATTCTTTTCAAAGCTTTGGGTTCAAAGCCATACTCTGTCTAGGTAGATAGCATTTTCTTCCCCCACTATATATCCAGCACCCCCACAGATTCTCCCTCTCGGTGAGCTGGTTTAAACGAAGCCCAGGCCTCAGTGCCAAGCAATGATGCAATGGCCACAAGAGTGCCTGCGGCTCCAGCGCAGGATTGAAGGCTGGAAGAAACACACCCGGCGGTGAGGCTGCTGTCCAGACCCTGGGTGCTGAATGGAGGAGGTCTAATCATGACGTTTGCTTTGGTGTAACAAAGACCAGGAAGTTCGGTCCGCCCGGAAAGATTTCTATCGACCTAAAAGCCCGGATTCCCTGGATGTAGTCCCCAATATGCTCCCCGGACTTGTTCGGAGCACCTGCCGAGAGTCCTGCCGAGTACCCGGCGGCGCTGAAACCCAGCTGCGTTAGTCAGTCAAAACCACAACTATTTTCTCCTGGTCAGAAATGAGTCACAGGCTTGAACTAGAATTGATCATTTGCTGCCTGTCTGCAAAAGCTGAAATCAGGTCATTTTCACCGACTCGTCTAACTGAATGAATGCGGGGGGTGGGGGTGGGGGTATGCTTCATCTGATCATCACAGCTGTTCCGGGTTCAGAAATACAAAACACTTCTTATGTGGGAAGAAGATTTTTTTTTTAAGGGTAAAGTAAGACGGTGAATAAACACTACAGTCTCTGTAACTAGACACTTCCTTGGGGAGAAAAACAAAGGAACCACGAGGTTCGGAAAGGCAGCCACGCTTTCCACCCTTTGGGGGCTCAGTGCCTCGGCAGATTCGCCCCTGCAGCCTCAGGATAGCAGGTCTCCGAAGGCGCTGGGAGGCAGGGGCTGGGGGAGGTCGAACCCGCCAGGAACCCAGCTGGTGCCCCTCAAGGGGCAGGAGAGCGCCAAGCGCCGGGCGAGCGCAGCTGGCTCCCTCTGCGGCCACCCTTGCCAGAAAGCTCTGAGCCCAGGCTCCCGCGCCTGGGCCGGGCTCATGAGCCCCGGGGAGGGGTGCCGGAGGGTGGAGCAGGCGCCGAGTTATGCAGCCTGGAGAAGCAGGGATGTGTAAACACAGGCTGACAGCAAAAAGGGCCCAGCCTGGCACAGTCAGGTGCGCTCCCAGACTTCACCTGTAAGAAGGGATCTCCAGGCTGCAGAAGTGTTTCCTGCCCGCTCCGAACCCGGACACACACACATCAAAGGCTCCAGGCGAGCTGACCCCACACTCACGCCGCGGGACCCTCAGCAAATTCCTCCCCTTACCGCCCACCCCCCGCCGATTTTCCCTTCGAATCGACTGCCTTCCCCTCAGACCCGAAGTATCACACCGGTGCTTTTCTCCACCTCTTTCAAATGAGCCTGGCGCACAATTGGTAGCGCGGCCACAGGCAGCCCGGGCAGGCGCCAGCACTTGCCCAGCTCGGGGTACAGGCAGGACCAGACCACGCACAGGCCGCGGGAGTGGGGGCCCTCGGGCTGCGAGCGAAACTGCGGGTCCTCCGCG